TGTTGTTTTGTGTGGTAGAGGGTCGCTGTCATTGATGCGTTTTGCACCCTGGGCCGTTGTTTTGATATTCCGCTGAAGTATACGCTGTGACGTAATAATGTCTTTTTTTCGAAGGAAGGGGTGGGGGTCAGAGGGCCTAGGTATAAAGCTCACGGCTCGCCACTGTGTTTAAAGATATGTGTATACTTAATTTGTGAACTGAATAAGCATTAAGCAACAATGGTATGCAAAAGGACACAAGATCAGCGGATGTTTATATTCTCTTATCTTCTGTAATACAGTTCTGTTACAATGGGTGGAAAATACTTCCGGTTTCGCTATGAGTGGTCGCATTTTCGAGAGCTCCCGCTTTGGAGGTTATTCCTCACGATTTTTTACATATTTCATCCTCCTGACAATATGGATTATGGACTCCTACCTCAACTCATCAATGAGGCAACATCACTTAGAGAAGGAGAGTAGTGAAAGCAGGGATAAAATGAACCACAATGACTTTTACCTTCTCAACGGCTGGGAAAGGAAACACCTCGCTTTTGGAAGTGCAAGCATTCATGCATTATTAACTGCAAACCCGACGCGAAAGTACTTACCCCCGTCAGGCAAACTAGACCGAAGAAGTATGATCGTCTTGGTCTTATTGTTAGCGGGAGACATCCATCTGAATCCGGGCCCGGTGCAGACAAGAAGCCATTCCTGCAGGCTCGAGGAGCTAGCATCACAACTAGCATCACAACTAGCATCTCTTCCGCTACAGCAACAACTACGCGACGACAACAGAGACCATGGAGACAGCGGAGACCGAGGAATCAACGGAGACTTCGACATTCCCCCGGGGACGCCTCGGCAGACAGACACGCATGAGGCAATGACGAGAGGAAGAGAACCGAGATCCGAGGGAACAAATATCCACCATGTTGTTAGCCACCCTGCTAGCATATCGACGGCTAAAGCTACAACGGAGCCTCCCTCCCCCCACCACCCCACCGCTCCAAGCACCACGGCAGGCCGCAAGCCGTTTGCTGTAACGGACAAAGACAAATATCTGCAAGCTGACGACATTATGCATTTAAACAACAAAAATGGACTACATATTTTTCATCTGAACACTAACAGCCTGAGACACAAACTGGCTGAACTCAGGCAACTGTTCATGAACGGTAAGGCAAGCATATTATGCTTTTCTGAGACCAAATTGGACAATTCCATTACAGATTCAGAGATTGAAATTGAAGATTATCTTGTAGTGAGAAGGGACAGGAACGTGAATGGAGGTGGTGTCTGCATGTACATACATAAAGACACCAATTTCAAAAACCGTACTGACCTGCATCATGAAAATATTGAATCTGTGTGGGTTGAAATTCTTTTTGACAATGCTAAATCTGTAATAGTCGGGACAATCTATAGACCACCGGAACAGAGTGACTTTTATGATACATTAGATGGGTGTTTGGCTGATGTGGGGGATGTAGAGACAATTATTATTGGAGACTGGAACACGGATATGCAACGTAAAGACACGTCCGTCTTCAAGTCCTTCAGTAGGATTTGTGATCTGCACGGCTTCAGCCAGCTAATCACCCAACCCACCCGGGTATGTGAAACAACACAAACTACCATTGATCTCATTCTGACCTCTGACAGGTCCAGGATCTCCAGTAAAGGGGTTATAGCATGCGGTTTAAGTGATCATTATATGATATTCTGTACCCGCAAAAAGCTAAAACAAAAGGCCGGCTGTCACAAAACAGTCATATCTAGAGACCTCAAAAACTACTCTAGCGAGGCCTTTAACCTAGAACTGGAGAGCCTGGACTGGTCAGATGAGCTCAGTGGTACACAAGTTGAAGAAACATGGCTTGGTTTCAAAAACAAATTCTCTGCAATACTCAATGATTTGGCCCCCCTAAGAACAACCAGGGTAAAAAATCGCGCTGAGCCGTGGATGCACTCCGGCATACTGACCGCCATGAAAACCAGAGACAAAAAATGCTCTGAGTTTCATAAAAGTCAGTCAATGCTTTCCAAAAGCACGAGCAGTGAACTCCAGGCCCACGTGACTGAACTAAAAATTGAAAGAAACAGACTAAGAAATGACGTAAGCTCCATGATCAAAACTGCCAAAAAGAATTTCATCAATGACAAAAACTGAGGGAAAACAAAAATAAACCCCGTGAACTTTGGAAATTACTCAATAACCAGCTTGGCTGCAGTAAAAAACTCAAAACGAGATTTTCAAACTTAAACATAAAGACAGATAACAGGCTCATCACAGACAAACTGGATGTGGCCAAGTGCTTGAACATTTTTTTCACAAACATAGCCACAACTCTTGTAAATAAATTACCCTCCCACTCAGGGCTTTTTGGAGTAGATCACATCATGACCTACTACAAAAACCTAGGGGTACGCAAAGATGATTTCAGTCTAGCAAGGGTAACAACAGCAGAGGTACTCATTAAACTGAGCGCCCTCAAACCTAACAAGGCCACTGGCCACGACAATATCCCCTCCAAATTCCTCAGAGACACAGCAACCGCCATCTCACCAGTCATAGCTCACATAATTAACCTCTCCATAAAACAGGGAAAAGTACCCAAAGACTTCAAAATTGCAAGAGTAACCCCCCTGCACAAAAAGGGCAGCAAATTGGACCCAGGCAACTACCGCCCTGTTTCTATACTTACCTCCATCTCGAAAGTCATGGAAAAAATAGTATATGAACAGGTCGAAAAGTACCTCGCAGAAAAGAAACTAATCTATGAATTTCAATCTGGCTTTAGAACATCCCACTCCACTGACACATGCCTTCTTTATTTGAACGACCACATCAAACAAGAGGTGGACGAGGGTAAATACTGCGGCATGGTGATGCTGGACCTACAAAAGGCTTTCGACACTGTCAATCACCCCATTCTGATTGACAAGCTAAAAGCAATTGGTTTTGATAAACTATCGGTGAGCTGGATGCAATCCTACCTGGAGGGGAGAGAACAGATGGTGGAGGTAAACGGTACTCTGTCCCCCCCCCTCCCAGTGAGCTGTGGTGTTCCACAAGGAAGCATATTAGGTCCGTTACTGTTCCTAATTTATGCAAATGACATGTCATCAGCATGTGACTGCAACTTGTTCCTGTTCGCGGACGACTCAGCCCTGCTGGTCTCTGACAGGAGCAGATTGCAGGTTGAAAAAACCCTCAGCTCCGAGCTCGGCAGAATCTGCACCTGGCTCGCCGATAATAAATTATCATTACACCTGGGTAAAACAGAGTCCATTCTCTTCGGTTCGAAACATAATCTCAGCAAATCCGACGACTTCTCAGTTGCAGTGGGTGACATTATTGTCACAAGTAAGAAGGAAATTACATACCTAGGATCTATTCTTGAGGCAAACCTCTCCTGTGACAAAATGGCATCCAATGTAATAAAAAAAGTCAATCAAAGAACTAGATTCCTATACCGGATCTCCTCTCTGGTAAACAAAAACACCCTGAAAACTCTGGCAGGAGCACTCATTCAAGGGTACTATGACTATGCTTGCACGTCATGGTACCATAGCACCTCCAAGGCGCTAAAAATAAAACTTCAAACATCGCAAAATAAACTGGTCAGACTACTGCTTGACCTTTCATCTAGAACCCACCTCACCTCTGCCCACTTTGACAACCTAGGATGGCTTAGAGTAGACGACAGAGTACAGCTACTTGCAATGGGCCTGGTCTACAAGATCCACTACACCTCTATGGTACCCATGTACATGTCAAAATTCTTCCCAAAGGTCAAGGAATACCATGATCATAACACCAGAGGGAGCTCCACAAATCATGTAAAACCCAGATTTGGCACAAAAAAGGGGGAATACACGTTTCGCAATTATGCCACATCAAGGTGGAACGCTCTTCCCACAACTGTAAAGGAAAGTAAAACTATACTTACCTTAAAAACCTCTCTTAAAGAGCACCTTCGGGGGAAAGCATTGCAAAACTGGCCCCGGTAATGGTACAAATCTCAACCTGTCGTACAATGGACAGCTTCCCCCCCCCATCTATGTATATACTCGCATTTTAGACTCTGTTACTAACTGTATATCTGTAGACTTGGTATGTCTTAAATGTCCGGTTAGGATGTATTAGAACGAAATCTAAAATGAAAATTGTAAATAAGCCATCTGTATGTAAAAAACCACCTGTATGTAAATTGTAAATAAGCCATCTGTATGTCAAATATGTCTTATATGTCTTAAATGATATGATGAATTGGAAATGGGGGACCCTGATGTAAACAAGACGAAAGTCTTTCTCTGGTCTGCATCCCCTTAACAATTGTATGTTTTGAGCTGTACTGTACTGTACCCAATATACAAGCTGTTAATAAACTTTTCAATCAATCAATCAATGGGTTTGACTATTTGTATTACTTTGTTAAACCTCACCAGCAGAGGTGGAAAGTAAATACATATATTTACTCAAGTGCTGTATAGTACACATTTGGGGTTCTTCCACTTTTTTACATTTTGGAAGCAAATTGTGTACTTTTTACTCCACTACATTTATTTTTAGATATTAATTTACCAGTTACTTTATACATTTATGGATTTTGAGGCACACAACTTTAGAAAACTTTTAAAAATATGATTATTTGGTATACATTAAATCATCTAACATAATATTTAACTAAAACAATGAGTGGGTTAACAGAACATTTATTGGAATTAAGATTGTTTTGTTAAAAAATATGTGCTGCTCTTGCTTTAAAATATTTGAATATTTGTTTTGCAATAACTGCTATTACTCCGAATACTTTAAGTACATTTTCCTAATCGTACTCTTATACTTTTACTTAAGTACCATTCTACATGCAGTACTTTTTATTGAAATTAAGTATTTTTACAGTGTGGTATTATCATTTTTACTCAGGTTAAGAATCTGAATACTTTTTCCAACACTGACTATTTGTGTTACGTAACCTCTGGTATCAGAAGGCGGATTTTCCTTAAGGACAGTAAAGGCAGCATCGCTGGCAGCCTTCCGCTTGTTGGATAAACACGCAGCTTCCAAACATGACCGCTGCTGTTGTTGTCCGGAGGTTAGCAGCTCTGTCAGGGGCTTCTGCGGCGGCAGCAGTGCCATACGGGGCTCACGGTAGGGTCACTGCACATTAGAGTATTCGCCATACTCATGCAATAGTATTTCCTTTAGGTTGGAATCGTAAAACAGCGGGGAAACACGGCCATGTCAAGCTAACCACTCGATTAGCTTCTATAACGGCGCATTTGCTGGACTAAAAAAGAACACGTATCTGCTGCTAATGTTGAATAGGCTAATAGTTAGTTTGGCATACAAATGACACTCAAAGCAGCAGCATGCTAATTTACTAAATAAACAGTTTTGTAATGAAGGTGACCGCCCCCTGTGTGTCATGGAGGAGTCAATGGCAAACGTGCAGTCAGAAAATCAAGTTAGTATTAGCTGAATTAAGCTAAACATTGCTCTATTTTGTTTTTTTACGAGACATCAGACATAATCATGTTTGGGCTGCACTATTTGAGACAGTTATATTTATACCCCTCAATATTCACTACTGCCATTGATCAAAAGCATCAACAAAAGCCTAAACTTAAAATCTTCAGACATTAGTTACTCATTCAAAACAAATGTATTGTGTGGGGAATTTATAAGAAACTGTTGATGCCATTTAAATTGTCATAAAGTGTGTCAACTTGTGTTTGAAAGTAATATTATTTCTTTCATTTTGTCATTTTTCTGTTTTAGGCTTCAAAAACAGCGACCCCGACAGCAAGTTCCGGAGAGCGGTATGTTAATATTGCTGTGATGGCAAATTTTGATGTTAAAAAATTGCTTTTACTTCAACACTTTTTACCTGATCACTGTCACAGTCTCGATCGTGTCAGAGATCATGATCTGGATTATGCAGGATTAGTCTGAGTGCTGTTCTCTCCAGCTATTTGAAATGGCCAACAAGTATCATTTCTACCACAGCCTGGCTCTGCTGGGTGCTGCCCACTCCAGCAAACCTGCTGTGGTGAGTATCAAACCTAATACCAACTGTTAGCCCCCAAGTGTCCCTTTTGAAAAGGAATTTTTTAAGTGCCATAATCCGTCTGTCCCCACTCAGAAAACCAGCATGGAATTGAAAGAGAAGTTGTTATTGTAACTCCTTTACACACAAATCTACAGTACATTTTAGCTACAACATGCATTGCTTATTTGTTATTAAAAAAACATTTAATTTAAATAAAAAATGACTGAAACAATGGGGTAAAAATTGAGACTGGTAGCTTTTTAAATATGTTTTTTTCCCTTAAAAGAAGGAGAAGTAACAATAGGCTGTTATCATCACATTATAAATAAGTAATACTATTATGTATACCTTCAGTACTAAGGGCATGTGTATTTATGCACAATATATAATTCACAAAATAGGCAACCATAAAATAAATGAATTATTCAGAAGTGTACAGATTCTTTCACTATACATTTTGTCCTATTTTCAGATTTATGTTTCTAATTTAGTTTGATGCAGAATCTAAAAAGAAACAAGACCATTTTCTTTCACACTAAGTAGTAGAAGTACGAAATAACTCAATTTAATATATGACAGCTTTTAATCTTCTTAAATAAATGTTTTTGTTTGTGCCGCTGAATCTAAAAGGAACAAGTACATTTTCTGCAACTTACATTTTAAACCTAATAAATGACATCAATTAATCTGCTTTTTGTCAGTAACCTAATTTATAAAATGTTTGTCTGTGTCCCCTCTCTACAGGCGGGGACCCTCCATGACTGGTGGTACAGACCCTGTAATAAGCAAGATTGCTCGCATGGGGGGTGTAGCTATGATCGCTGGCTGGCTGGCTATAATTCTCTGAACTGTAACAGTTCACGTCCCCTCCACAGGGCCGCTCTGTGACGCTGGACTGTCAGACTGTTAATGGATGAACTGCAGAGCTTGGGGGGGGGGGGGGGGGAAGTTTAGAAGTGCGGAGTAATGTCGCCCATCTAATCGCTCCCTGTCCGGGGGTTGTGGGTGTCAGCGGCAGATAAGGTCACAGGATTATCACTTTTCTACCATTGCTGTCTGTTTCTGATCGCTGCCCTTAAGTTAAAATGGATACACAGAGAATAAAGCACGTGTCATCTCGACGAATTGTTGACTAATTTCCACTGGTATGTCAATTTTGAACTTGGAAATAAAATCTAGAAGTTCCCGAAGCTTTACTTAACAGTGAATAAATGCAGTTTCTATTTATGTTTCTGTAAATGTATACAGCAGTGGTATTGCAGAAGTAGAGCAAAAATGAAAGGAATATGAGGAGAAATAAATACTTTTTCTTACACATTGTTGGGTTGCCTGATTTTTACACATGACTTTTTCATTACTTCTCCAAGTACATTTTTTCAATCTGCCTAATACATGTCCTTTTCACCTCACTACATGGTCTTGTAAAGGTTGTACTTTGCTGATTAGACAAACCATGTAATTGGTTTATAAATTATTATTCGTTTTTATAAATGAATATATGTATAATGCAGATTAAACTGACTATACCTGATCAATTACAATTACAATTGTCTCACTTGTTAATACATTAATGACTAATTCACTATTCAAATACATAAAACAATCACCCTGAAAGTGTTAATTCTGCATAATGAGTACTTTTAGGAATAACTCTTAAATGGCAATTATAGTCCAGACTGAAATTCCAATTATTATTAGACCTATAGTAAGTAACATTTATTTATAAAGCACTTTTTCCAGACATAGTCACAAAGTACTTGACAAAGCAACATCAAGCCACTTGTAGCATTGTGCAGGATAGGTTAGATACTATACATGTACATAATATACATTTTTTACTATTTTCTGTCTAGATAATGTAAATTGTTAAATTCCTTCCAATGCATTTATCATATATGGACAGAAGAACATTTTCACTACCAATACAGTACTGCTTATTTGGGTACATGTACCTGGATTAATGCATCCAGAGTAAATTAACAGTTGCGAAACCTGAATGCAATCCAATTCCAATTGAGAAACGCCAATTCCAGTTTAACAGGGGTCTCTTCAGTGAGTGGTTCTCAGTAAAGGTCGGATAAACTCAGGATCCACAGCCTATAGAAGCTAAAGAAAATCCTCCCTCTTGCGGTGCTGAATGTCTTCACAGCCTGGAGCATTTGATCCTCTAAGTGGCAGAACACAAAGGAGTTCATTACCCATGCCTCCCCGTAGCTGGGGCCGTGTTCCAACCACTCCGCATTCAAATTGAAAGTGAAATCCATTGAAACATTAATTTGCCTTCCTGACTGTAGGCCCACGAATGGGAGACCTTTAGAAAATAGCTGTATAAATCTTCGGGTCAATTTTCTGGGGTCGTCACAGGAGCCGAGGCTCTGCTCAGAAGAGAAAGAGCTATCGACTGCACACGGTGCCAATGAGCTCTTGATCACGACTCATACAACCCTCATTAGAATTAAGTAGCTATTGAGAAGCATTCTGCTATTCCAGGACCAGGCAACAGATAACGCTCTGAAACCCGGTCTCATATCTCTGACTCACAACTTTTAACTTGACAGGAGACACATGACTGGAAGTCACAGCGTGTTCCGCACTGTCAGGTGCATAATTGAAGTGTCATCATCAAATTTTCAGCTGTATGTGTTAAATACTTGAGGAGATAATCATGTGACTGACTAGCAAGACAACATTTGACTACTTTCACACAGCAGTCTTATTTTAGGGCTATTTATTTATCAGCTGACATCCAGAAGTGTGGATCCCTGTTGGTGCCAGCACAGCACTCCTGTGTTAAGATCTAGCCGGATCAAGATGTTCTGCTGTGGCCGACCACATCAAATGTGTGAGAGAGGGAGAAATGGAAAATGAGATTAAGGGAGACACTTGTGTCTTCATTAATGTGCTTTTCTGTAGCTTTCCAAGTTATTCAGACAGAGCTAGTCAGTTCTCAGTGTTTGTCTTTTCATACATTTTAAGCAAGTTAACAGTGTCTTCAAATGAGGATTAAAAAGTTATCTAAATAACTAAAAACGTTTTCAACCCCTATTAATTGAGTATTCCCAACATTTGTTTTATCAATTTACCTGGCCAGGAAATAGTCCCAGTCAAAATGTTGTGATGCAAATAGATTTACCGTGTTATTTCCATGTTTAAGGACAAATTCCTGCAGCACCTGCGAAGATTCAGGTGTGTCCTATTTCAGTGATAAGAGTACACATTAAATCCTCTTGTATTCATTATTATTTATAGGCTCTGTATGTTGCCATTTAATCCATATGTCATAAAGCAGGAGGGTCTGAAAGCAAATGCACTGTCTGGTGCTTTGCTTCAGTCTGTAAAGTAGTGAGCGTCGGAGAAAGAAGATACTAACAGTAGATACTGTTAATTATACCTCCAGGGACTTCCTCTGCACTTCACAAGCCTCCCTATGCTTTATTTCTCTTACTCTGCAGTTGGATTTAATTACATCAGCTCCTTCTGGTAGGCCTCGCTGTCCCATTGATTTCTTGGTCAGAGCCTGTTTTGGTTAAAGATGAAGAGGGAGTGTTTGTGTGAGAGTCAGCAGTCATGAACGAGGGAGGTGATAGAGAGCTTATGGGATGAGAAGGGCTGACTGTGGAAATGCGTGCTCCTCTGGAATGAAACGCCGGCCATCTTGCATGATTAGCCACAGTTTCCTCCTTCTTGCTCACATGGACCAGGAGACACACACATATCAACCCACAGGCAATATAGTAAAGTGCATGCCGTATGATACACACAACAGCAGTGCCAAATCCTCTCTCGGGCATCAATCAGGCGGCGGCTCTTCGCACAGTGAAGCGGAATGACTGTAATGGCCGTCCCACATCGCCACGCTGACCCTTTCCAGCCACTTAAATGATGGTCAGCGCTACAGCACACACTCAGATAGATTATTCCCTCACTTCAATGGACACAGAGTCACTACAGCCCCCTTTTTCACAGTTTTATCCTCAATCATTTCACTCCAATCTGCAGCACAGTGATGACGGCCATGCATCAGAGGAGCTAACGGGATGACACCAAGGGGAAGCGGCCATTGTTACGGCATCACCATAACCACTATCAGCGGCGGTCGTCTCGCAGAGTAATGCAGTGTCTGGGTTATTACCCAGCAGGGAGATGCTGGATGGTGGTGATGGTTTGGGTTATGCTGCGTAAAGGGATAACTGTCTGTTATAATAGCGCTGTGAAAGTTTACGACTCTCAAACGTTAGAGTTGTAAACTACCTTTTTCTCCTGTGAGCTGCTTAACCGTAACATTTAAACACTCCCTCATCAGAAGCAAGTTGCATTTCAGAGTGCAGAAAAGGGTTTAAGGGCATGTTAACAGGAAGTAAACATTTTGCTCCCAGAACATTTCCCAATGGGCTGCCAATATAGATCATTTTATCACTGATCAGCACTTGCTCTAGGTGATATCTTTGTACGTGTTTAGTCAAATTACAAATCCATATTGCATACTATAAAATTCACAACATACTAGCATAGTATATTAGGAGTTAGTATACAAAATATCAACATGAATAGTACTCGCACTTTATAGACATTGGTTGTCGATTTTACACAGTTATTCCAAAATACAATTCTCCAATGAATCTACAATTTTGTTTTCCAAGATTAGTTTGGAAGTGCATGTGCTTCAACCGAACACTCGTGTGAACACAATAAAACCTTATAATAAGTATATAGATTGGATTTGTGACATTTGTGGAAGAGTCTACAGCCTTGTCAGCTTGTTGAAAAAACTGAAACGTTGACTTTAAATAAATATATTTTGTCAACAGATTTCACATAACTGTAATTAGTTAATTGAAAGCAATAATATTAAGTTAAAATGAAATATTATGTTAAACTTAATATTATTGCTTTCAAGTTACCTAATACAGTTATGTGACATCTGTTGAAATAATGCATATATTTGAAGTTAACATTTCATTTTTTTCAGTGCAGAAGGAATAAAGAGTTTTAAATGTTTTGTATTGTTAGTAGTTCATTTTGAAATGCGTAAGTACATTTTGAAATGCGTAAACCCCTTTTTGAAACGATGAATGTTTGAGAGATATTTATAGTGTGACAAAGTATTTGGAACAACCTGAATACTCCGATCAAGGCAAGATCTTAAGATGTATTTCTGTATTCCTGTTTGTGCAAAAGGCAAAGAATGAAATCAAAATGATATTTTCATCCATTTTCCTTCCTCCTGCTCTTCCGTCCACCTTTCCCCATTATTATTTTAGGGCACCTCCCCTCTTTCATCACTTCTCCTTCACTAATTTTGCTGAACAAGCACTGACTTCAGAGACTGATCCATGAATATCAGACGTGACACATTCCCATCAAATGCCTGGGATTCGACTTGCAGAGGGGAAGATTTTTATGGTACCAATTCTAGCCCGGGGGGATATATTGAGGAATGTCAAGCGAGCTGGTAATGTTTTTCCATTCCTTTCTGGTTAAAAATAAACCAAAGAAAAAGTTTGAGAGATATTGCGTTTTATTTTTGCTGTCTGTCTCACTATGTCTGCTGAAGGCCAGGCTCGTATCTAACCTCTCATTTTGCAGACAGGTAATGTCACTCCCTCAACTTGATCATTAAGTGCTGTTTGGTACAGCGTTACGTGAAAAATGTCGTACTTATGCTACAGAATAGGCTGATGAATCACACGCTGCATTGTACTATACACAGACAGCTCTTCCCACAATGTGAGACGGTAATGATCCATCGACAGGCTGAGGTGCGACAGGTAATTCCAGACACCATCAATCCAAAGAAGTTTAGCAGGAAAAGAATAACTTGGAAGTGTAATTAAGGAGGTTTATGCGTACTGTATAGACAGGAAGTATTTTATATAGTGGAACCTGTTTTTTAGTGAGCATTGGAACGATAACAAAATGCAAAAAGAGGTAAAATGGTTGGTTCTTTTACACAATCTATTCAAATTGAGAAACAAACACTACCAGAAGCTCCCCTAATAAATATGATTTATCTTGTGACTAGTCTAATACAAAAGATGTGATTGAGTTGCATTATGGCACTATTGCACTAGGGGCTATAAATACAATAAAATGAAATGAAATCTCTCTCTTTACTTTATAAAATGTGAGAAAGAAATGCTGTAATAAAAGCCAACACACTGTTATGGTAAAAGAATAAACTGCAATGAGATCCTTTTCTCGTAGTGTGTCCCATGGCCATTTCCACTGATCATAATTCCATTGTTGAGGTCTACTAGAATAGATTTATATTGTGCAATTTTCCAAACTCACATTGGTTTCTCATACAGCATCTCTGTAAACTGTGTATTCACTGAATTTCACTCTCTGCCTTTAACGGTTCGTTGTAGCTCCAATAGCTCCAGCCCCCACCCTCCCTGTGAGCACAGTGTGCTCTGATTGGTCAGGACGTTGTGAATCGCGCTGAGCTCCGTGGAGGTGTTGTTTCCTAGCATACACACAGCCAAACACAGCCAAACTCATCCTGAGCACACACAAAGTCACAGCCGAAGTAAAAACAATAAGTGTGGCTTGATATTGAGTAAGAAAAAGGTTGATAAACGCTGTGAGAATGGGTCTGCAGAGAGAATTTCGCCGCGATCCCAACTGTCTGTTATCAGCCTTGCCATTTTCATAATGTCTTCCATTTTTGTAAAGCACTTTGAATTGCCTTGTGTTGAAAGGTGCTATATAAATAAACTTGCCTTGCCTTGCCTTGCCTTGCAGCCAGGGAGGAGAAATCAGCTGAGCTGCCTGCTCCCTGCACACAGATGTGTGTGTGAGGAAGTCCGTGGATTGGTCAATTTGGACCAATCAGCGGGGGCTTAACGTAACGGCTCCGCGGACGTAAGGTAATGGCTCCACGGATTGGTCCATTTCGTTCCGGGTACGGCTTGACATCATGCCGTACCCGGAACGAAATGGAAGAATCAAATGGACAATGACGTATCTCCAACGAGGCGTTTTGGGGAGGTATTTTCTATGTTAGAGTTTTACTCGCTACAGGGTGTACTTTGAGGGTTTGTGACTCTGCACACCGTTTACATGCATAAAAACCTTCATAACACACAAGGGGATGGGTAATAACCGGAAAAGCATGACATGGGCCCTTTAAGACAATATGTAAGAGGCCAGCTATTTATTTGCATATTAATTCTATATATGTTGGGTATATTGCATATCATTTATTTATTCAAATAAATTGAATGTAGGTTAAGATTGAATATTCAAAGCATTCTACCTGGTATGCAATTCCCTCCTCCTGTATGCATTCACAAAGTCAAGAGTTATTTTAACACATGTAATTATATAATAGGCTTACTCATTTATAACCATATAATACCATCATTCATTTAAGGATGATTATATTAGGCGGATCTCTTCAGATGGATTGTGTAATCCACTTTACATACCCTCCCTCCATCAACAGGTGGTCTATTATCATTATATAGGGGTGGGTGGGCACTGTGGGGAGAATCAGTGCTTCCACATGCAGCCCCTTACAACAGGAAGGACTCCTCACATTCCCATGCATCTAAACACTGGCTGTTCATTGGTGAAACCGCCCTGCCTTCTACTACTAAACCTCAGCACAGCCTTATCTTATCTGCGAGGGCACGGGCACAATTTTTAATCATAACCTGACCTCACAAATCCGTGTGTAGTCCTCCTGTAATGTGGGGCGTTCGTGGCACACATACTACTAATCCCTGGATCCTCAGAGAAGGACCATGATGATTTCTGGGACGGTGTTGCCAGGGGGAAGGTGGCGACTGGGACCTGTTGGAAATGACAGCTGAAGAAGGCGGATTGAAGCACAGGAATCACAATAACAGTAAACATAGAAGATAGCGGAGAGACTCCCTCGGATCACTGTGTAAAGGGTGTGTGTCTGTTTGCGATACTTGGCAGCTTTAGCCTGATAGCTAATCGTTGCACTGTGATCCGCTACTCGCAAGCTAACGAGTGCATGTGGGTGCAAGCGTGTGTGTGGCTATAGATTGTGTGAATGTGAGTTTGTATACGGGGATGTGAGCTCGCATTTTCACTATCCCCACCTGTCATGTTAGCTAGCATGCTAATTTTATAAAGCTACTTAGCTAATAAAAGAAATTAGCTGACTGTGGGCGAGGTACCAAACCGACCCTATTACTGGAAGTCTAATGGTGTGCTTATACAGTTATACAGCAGTCATATGCACCTAGCTAACGCTGCCCACGCTATTGTGCTGTTTATTACGAATGATCTAATTAGCTAGCTAATGTTAGACAGCAGGCTGGCTAATTTGCTGTGCTGTTAGCTTAGCGGCTAGGAGCTTGCTCGCTAATTGACCTAGTTTGGTAGGGCAGAGGCCATGACATTCCACTCTCCACTGAACTGTGTTTACATTACAAGTTTGTAACTTGTTACTAACAAGACACGGTATTTAATACAACTAGTTAAACATGTAATAACTCAATAAGCGTAACGCCCTTTCCACTTTACGCTAATTCCTTCAAGAAATATGCTGTCCCTTTAACAGGCTACATGTTACCCATTTCTTAAGCACGACCAACTTACTATTTGACATGCTATGATACAATGAACGATACAATATACGTCTTAAAGGCATTAACTATTTACAAAAAGTATTTTATCAGGTTAGAAGCATGTAGTAAGGGAATAATACATATTATTAATTATGTTATAAGTGCATTTGTGGGCTGTTAGAATATCAAACATTAGCATCAGGTTTAATGACTGGATGTTAATCAAAGCTGTAATTGCTACAGCATATTTTTTTGCCACTAAAATGTAATTTCAGTTCTTCCCTGATGTCATGTGTTTCTCCAGACTTGCCCCTCAAAGTCTCATGATTCACATGGGGCTTTTGAAAACAAGGCCAGCATTATATGGAAATAACACAAAGGCTTAAGAACTAAATCAGTCTAAAAATACAGTTAGCCGAACATTGTGAAAACAGGTCAAACGTAGACCTGTGCTTTGTTCAAGGGTGCTAAATAGTTAGCTTCAAATCCAAAAGTTGTTATTGGCACTGTGACAGCATAGTTTATTTGAGTTGGCAATGAAAATAGGGCACTTGTGATAATAAAACCCCCCAATCTAGCTAACCAAACAACGGATATATTATCTCTACCCTACAGGGTTGTAGACATGGAGTCCCTGATGAGTGCGGTGGCCCCGCGCTCCCCAGCCCCCGCCAAGAAGCTGTCAGAGGTCGACTTCCGGTCGGGGGCGACCCTGGAGCAGTTGTCAGCGCAGGTGTCCGAGCTGGTGGTACTGGAGCAGGGAGAGTTCGGAGACCAGACTGCCTTAGAGGTCCACACCGCCAAGGACTTTATCTTCAACATGCTCGGTATGTCTGCAAAAAAATGCTCTCCATTCACCACTAAATAATTGTAACACCTACTTCCTTACTTAGCTGTTGACCATTTGGTGTTGGAATCACAATCTTTACTTACCATCTGGGATAAACGTGCAGAAATATGTCACATTGTTTTTTAGAAAATCTGTTCTCCTAATTGTCACAGATGAATCTCCTTATTATGCGCTTGTCTCTGTCGATGTCTATTTTTGCCCCTCGTTCTCTTAGTATGCACAGGTTTATATTTTTTAAGTGTGTATAGGAAAAAAAAGAGCATATATTATCTACTTTTTGCCCTTTATTTACCCAGGGTAGTTCTGGGAGAGCAATGAGTAATCATTCCCAGCAACGCCTTGCTGCCCAGTTGGCTATTTAACATGCTTTAACATGTAACAAGCTGGGCTTGCACTCAGTACATTTTATGTGACATCAATACAATCTAATGGAACAAATTGTATGGCTAAATCCATATCATGTTGAACACGTAGTTGTCATGATACTAAAATGTATAACTTAAATCTAAATTGACACAACATTGAGGGCACAACATTTTAGATTTCTATTAAAATTATGAATACAACAAGGCTTTAACATGATACTAAGTTTTATTTTCTTGGCCAGTAGCATAGAACAGCAGAAATGACTTAAGTAAACGTTAACAATGTTTAAACTTTCTTAAATTTAACAAAACTATATTATTCTTGAAGGTAGTTCACTGCATTAAATATCCTTTTGTATTCAAAAGGCAAACAAGAACATTTTTGACAGTTGAATCTGTTTTGAATATCCAGACTCAGACAGAAATGGGCAAGAACCGACAGGACTAAGGACAAGGACAGCAGAATATTTATTTATTTATGGTTGCTTTTGATTTATTTCTGTCTGTAGAAATGTGACATTCAATTTTAGCCAAAGGAAAAAAAGCAGCACAATCTCATTTAAACATGATGGGACACGCTTCTGTTTTGCAGGCACGTTTTATGACTCAGGTTGTGAGACGGCATGTGTGACAAACACGATCAACACTGTATTCTTAGTATGTGTTGAAATGACGTATGTGAAAAGGTGCAATATCTGCCATTTAATCCCCTTGAAGATTATCACATGGTTGTTTTATTTAAGTGCCGAATGCAACATTAGATATTTGTAATAAGTGGCAATGGGGATGCATTCAAGCACATCCATTAGAATCCACACATGCACACCCTGAACCAATGAGAGATGGCTTTGCTAGGTGTGACATGAAGCTGTTTCTAATGTATTCTATTGTATTTTTCAGAAGTGAAGTGTCTTTGTTATTCCAATAGGTGGCACTCTCCCCCTCCCTGCTGTCATCCTCATGTCACCATCAGTCTGTCCATCCTGAAAAGTTTGGTCCATTTTGGTTCTAGTTTCACACTTCATTCACTGTGTATTTGGAATATTATTACACACAATCACTGTCAAACTAGTACTATTACATTGGTTGAGACACAGCTCCTGTAGGATTCAAAATAGCCTCATCAAACAGGTATTTTATTTATTTCCCAGTGGATGAAGTAGCCTGTGATCCTTATTTTATTGTAACACCATTACTGTACATGCAGAGATTATATTTGTGCGTAAACTAGTTTTTTGGTCTTTTAGATTTGTCACGTTGCCAGTTGAGCTGCCTCTTTGTCTTCTCCTACTTTCACACTCTCAGTTAAGAGTCTCCTTTTTGTTTTACTCTAAGAGGCACCCTCTCCTGCATAATCACCAATGGTTTGCTGGTATTTCTTACACCCCGTGCCTCACCGCTCACTGTGACAGCTCTGACTGTGAGAAGAAAAAAGAAAAAGTTTGCAGCGTTCCACAGAGGGAGACGCTTTGGATTCTAGGAATATAAAGTTTAGTATGCGTCGGTAGCTGCATTAGGAGCATCTCAATGCTCTGCAGAGGATGAAAGGCCGCACTTAAAGGAAGCACTGAAAAGCAAATATCATCCTTTTGATGCAGGGACCTTGTTACCGGCCTTCTGGATGAGCTTTATCATGCGGCAGTTAAAGTTTGTGTGCATGGATGCTGTCGCGATTGGCTGTTTTTGCTAAGTTCGATAAAGTTACCGCTGCAGTAGGATCCCCACTGTGCTTTGTACACTGTCAGGAAAAAGGGTAGAGAAAAGATATTAAATAAATACACCCAGTGAGTTTCTTCACAGTGTGACTGATCTAAAAATAAACTCTTATTTACCGTGCCTTTCGGTAAACACTGTTGAACCTTCGGGCAGGCGAGGTGGGGGGGCCACAGTATCTATGTTTTGAAAAAGTCTGATGAAGGCAGAAATAGATCTAGAGTGCCGGTGAAGCAGAAGATATATTGCTTTGCCTAAACCCAACTTTTTGTCAAAGTTTGTTGGCCAGCTAAGTTCAGGAAATGTCATCTCTGTTCCTTTTTGTCCAGATTTTGAAATGTTTCTCTCTGAGACTACAGAATAACCTATTGTCTGTTGATATTTTGCGACAAGAAATGAGTTTATCTGTTTATGCAGTGCACACAATCTTCCTTTTGTCCTCCAGTGACCTCACATTCTTGCCTTCCTGTTTGTCTTCTTACATCAGCCCCTTTGTTTTCCACTACTCCCCGCACTTAGCACTGTTCAAACATAAATGTGCATCACACTAACAGGCCCTCAGTGAAGGCGTTTCAATAGGGAAGGGGGATCAGTTTTTTTTTTCTTCCAAGTCAGGAGATTCAAAAGTACACCTTGAGCTGTAACAAAAACTGAAAAACAAAACAAAGCCTATCTGCGCGTGTTTGTTGGTGTGTGAGTGATGGTGCATGACAGCCTGCAAATGAATAATTCCCTCTAAAATCCCAAGATCTTTTCGGGATTGTTGTGGCTCTTAACATTTCACAGTTGTTCCAAAACAGAGGGATACAAATTCCAAACTTTTCTCACCCCAAATGTCCAAAATCCTGACATTTCCATTGGACAGGGTTCCTTAAACTCAAATGTTATCTAGGTTGGTAGGTTCTATAAATAAGGCCTTACATTTTTTTTTACATATTTGTCTGACATTATGCAGAACTTAATAACCAAAAAAGGCGTAAAATTGGTCTTAAATTATATTCTTAGTGCCATTAATAAAGTGTTGAATCTTACTCGCCTTAGGCTGTAGGAAACCTTCATAGGATGTTATATTCAGTGCCATACACACAAGTGAGTAAAACTTTTCCATGAGACGTTAAGGCTTTAATACTGGCTGCTTTTATAAGATACTAAATATCTCCTCCCAAACTTTCTAACCTTTCCATGGCTGCTCAGACTTTAAGCAAAGTCATGCATATTTTATTTCGGGGAATAAGAAATCCCTCCTGGTTAAATTTTAACCACCAGAGTGGCGACTTTATCTCCTTTGGGAAACCAGCTGACTCAGTTTTGGTTTTCTAGCTCAGGACCCAAAATTGATGCTTTGGCTGACTAATTCTCTGCTAATGTCATTTTGGATTTGAGAGGCAGCCAATCCAGATCCATGGCAGTGCAACAGTAGATGAAATATTGTGTTTGATTAGTTTGGCTACACACACACACACACACACACACACACACACACACACACACACACACACACACACAACACACACACACACACACACACACACACACACACACACACACACACACACACACACACACACACACACACACACACACACACACACACACACACACACACACACACACACACACACACACACACACACACACACACACACCAGCACAGCCATGCCAAGCAGCACAGATGAGATGCGGCTTTCCTGCCATAAACGACGGTCATTGTTCCTCACTGACTCAGCATTTTTTGGCAGCATTAAGCCGTAATTGTCGGACAGCTGGCACATCAGTGAAAATGAATGCAAAACACAATTTAGATGATGTTAATTTAGCTCAGCTCGCAACCTCTCTTACATAGTGCTCTGTAACTAATCAAACTGTCTGTCATTTAAACACAGTAGAGTGTCCTGTGACTGAACATGGCCTCATCCATGAATTCTTTCATAGTATCTAATTAAATACGACTTACATCATTTGGCATGTTCTCTAAGCAGTGTTTTGACACCGCATGACATATTATCTACTGTGGTGTTCGTTTTAATAAGCACGGCTGACATAGTGATTTTTTTCCTCTCTTTCGTAATCACACTTGAAGTATTCCTGAGGCAAAGGGGGAGGAATAATTTGGTCTGTGGCTGTCAAATGATAACATAATTGTATGCGCAGGCTGTGGCTGCCTGAGTTGCCGGGGAAAAAAACAATTAAAAAGTGAATGTTTGCAGCACACCTCGTCACTTTCAGTTATTTTTATCAAGGGATTTAGAGGGCACAAAACAGACATTCCCCTATTTCCTTCAAATCAGATAAGTGAAGTTTCTGAAAACTTCAAATAACATTTTTATAAATGCTGGGTGAACTAAAGGACAAAGCGAGTGTTTGTGACGCACAATTTTTTGTAATGTGCAGATATGATTTTCAGATTAAAACAGGGGACCCAGTAAAGCTTTAACATGATTCTGTGCTTGTTTTATTCTCTACTTTAAACAGTTTAAAGGGCTGTTTATAGGCATGGGCAAATGATTAGATAATGGGCCCCTGGTCAAAGACATGCATCACCTTTTGCTATATAGGATCATGCCAGACTTTATACTTACTTAGCTGCTTTTTGTTGTGGTTTTGTTTCTCTTGGTGATAATTTTTTGTCTTTTTTGTAGTTTTTTTGTGGCACTTTGTAATTCGAATGGTTGTTTTGTAGATTTGTTTTTCTATTGGTTTGCTGGTCTTTGTTGTGTTTCAGTGTCCCTTTGTGGAAGTTTTGGTCCTTTCAATTGTTGTTTCGAGTCTTTTTGCAGTTGTTATGCTCTAATTTGGTATTTTTTTAAGTTTCATTGTGGTCATTTTAAATCGTTTCCTGGTTGCGTCCCAACCAGGAAACGATTTAAAATGACCACAATGAAACTTAAAAAAATACCAA